GGTTTTTGTAGATTGAGGAATTATATTTGAAGTTTATGCTTCTCTGAGGTGTTCTTGACTCTTCCAATGATCAGATTCTAATTATCAAAATTTAAAATTTGAACTCAGTCTGCAGGAAGTGCATATATGACAAGCTATCAGGAGATGATGAGATGGATTGCTGTCCTATATGTGATGTTGAGCTGGGCATTAGTCCAACCGACAAACTCAGGTTAGAAGTTCTGTCTTCTTACTATCTACAAAATTAATTCTTTGTTAATCATATAAGTAGAGGTATGTTTATCGAGCAAAACCTTAAATTTTACATCTGCGAAGAAAAACTTCCTTAATGAATGATTTACAGTTCCTTCTTTTTCCTTATCTTTGAGAATTACTGAATTGGAACTTGATTAAAAATCGAAATGACATTACACGGTGCTTTTGAAACTCAGTATTTTCTAATTAAGCTTCAACCTTAGATTATCTTGATTTTGATGATAAATGATGTTTGGTTTTCTTCTAAATTCCGTCAGACCAGGATTGTTAGGTTATAGCCTGGATATTATCTAATAAAAACTTGTTTCTTAGATCTTCATTTTTGAGAAGGGCTTGCTAGATTTTTTACTCTCTCATTACAATTACACTGACTTGAAGGCAAATGTCAAAGTTGGCAAGTTTTTGTAAAAACTAGGACGACTTTCCAAAGAGAGGCTCTTCGTGCTTTCTCAAATTTTCTCAATGTTTATTTGTGGTACCGTAACAAAATCTTTTACGTCGGTCATCTAGGTCTTGTTCATGCAATCCTATGCAAATAATAGAGGTGCTTTATTGGACAGGCTCTTAATCATAATGAAGTACGTCTTGGAAATATAGGTTGACTGCGTAGTTTCTGTTTATGGAATCCTATTGAATAGTTAAAGCATTTCTATGGAGAAACTTTCTTTACTTCATTTTCTTGTCTTCTATTACTGGTCTACCCTAGGATATATTAAGTCTGTTTGCACTTGCTTTCTGCTTATACGAGCTGGCATTTCAATATATGCAGGCCTGACCACAATTGGCAAGATATAAGGGCAAAAATTTTCCCTTCGAAGGGAAAAAGGACTGCAGCCCCTGAAGCCATGACGTCAGCTTCACCACCTGCGAAAAGGAAAGAAAGGTCATTGTCATCGTTGGTGGTCAGTGCTCCTAAAGTTGACATGCAGAGTGACTTCAACGTGATGGGAAGCAAAGCTATT